TTCTACATTGTAAAAATCTAAAAGAAGTTTAAAAGTTTTAAAATATATTTTAAAAAAATCTATTACCTGTTCTCCTCAACTGAGAATGATGTTCTAGTGAATGTGTTTCTTAACTTTTCTCTCACACGTTTCATTAAAATATTTACACCTAGCATAGCTGTTTTTTAAAAATAAAATTCTCTCTTTCTCTAGGATCACATCTTTTCTCCTACCCACACACCCTACAAAACATTTGTTGCTTTATTTTGCAGTGAGTCACTTTAAATAGTCTAATGGTGGAAGAGGGAATGTGGTTCTAGAATTTGATTGTTGGAGAGAAGAGGGAGAATGAGGTAAACGGCTATTTGATGTCTGTCTTTTCACAGTAGCACAATAGCTAATTCCTAGGGCCTCTGACCTTTTAGTGTCCTGTAACAGAGTACTTGCATTAATCTGTTGCTTATCTGTCACCCACCACATTTGATATTTCCAGTCTCTGCTTTCAATTATCAGTCATCAGAAGCAGCACAGAGTAATTTCAGGAGAAAACGCCTGGAACTTTTGACCTGTTTTTGTCAGATAACCACAAGAGTTCACTGTAGATAAACTATCATTTCATTATATTCAAGATGTAAACGAGTGTCGTTTGTAGTGTATCAGCTTACTGTAACCTTTATCACCTTGAAGTGATTAAAACTGACTGGTTTACTTAGTGTTTATACAAAGAATTCAGAGTCAAACAGTGAAATTCAGTGAGATTAGTGTAAATGGCTTTCATAGTTACGTGAGGTCTGTAAGACCCTCCGTTTTCCCTTGGCATGTATATTTAGTAGTTAAAAAGTGGCAGTAAGTCGATTAGTGAGGCTTCACAGTTCGTGCATCCAGTAGGTAACCTGGGATCTAACATTGTAAAATCAACTTATTACAACATAACTTTGTTTTGTTCCTTGGTTTGCCAAAGAAGCTTTCACTTTCCCTATGTGTCACCACATACCAACCTCTTCAGCAAAGCACATGTCAGTGGGGAGCTAATCACTAATGAAAGAGCACATCTCATAGTCCCTCATGCACTATGACCTAAACTCATTGCTATCACTTTTTAGATTTTTTAAGCTCAGTCAACAATTACTCAGACATTTATAGCTGAATTAGTAAAATACCAATAGCTTAGTATACTGTTCATCCATATGAGTGCTTTGTATTTTTTTTCTAGAAGACAAATGCTTAATGAAAATTAGTGCATGATGTTTTCTCATGGCGTAAAAGATGACTGTTTTTCCAAAAATCTTTTTGGTGTAAATTTGTCTTCATTCTTCTTAAGAGTTGGGCCTAGTGTTAATACAGTATGAATATTTCATCAGTTTGCCACGTGAGTGGAAAATATCATTCTTTTCCATCTTACACACAGGTGTTTGTGATATTCCCCTGAGCCATGATTTGTCTGATGTAACCATAGTGCTGAATATATTAGTTTCAGGTGGTATAAAAATAGCATTTTTAAAATGTTTAAAAAGGTTAATGTTAAGAATCTTGATCATGGAAAGCAAATGAAGAATTTTGTTGTAATTAGCATTGACCCTAATATTCTAGTTATTTTTACTTATAAAAGTTATATTCCTTCAACGGTTAAAAGAGGACTTCCTGATTTTCTGGTCAACGGGTTTTCAGATGCTGATTGGTCCCACAGAGATGTATTTTGGCAGATGAACTCAGCAAAGCTGGAATGGCATGAAAATGCTCTGAATAGTTTAAAATCTTAACCTGTATTTTTTGGGTTGCCACTGTTGAAAAGCTCTTGCATGTGAAATAAAAATATTTGAGACATGGTGCCCCTCTGCACTTCACACCATTTCAGTAGGACAAAGGACTTGGGAGATACCCTACTGAGCGTTCATCATCTTCCCTGACAAGGCATTTATTAGATGCAGAAGGGATCAAGACTCTTGTATTATTTTTAATATTAAGGTACTCAGTATCATTAAATAACATTTTGCTTTTATAACTTGGCTATCATTCTAGCCATTAGTAACTGTTGCAACATCACTATCACTGCTTTTTTTACAGTATACTATATAATGCAAGATCTTAACTGGTCTAAATTTGTAAAACAATATTTTATATTTTGTACATTGACCAACAGAAATTTGTAGTTTCAGATTCTGACTTCGTCATAGAGAGTGGGACATGTCTGGACTCAGGGTTTTTCATGTCATTCAGTGCCTGTTTGCTGCAATCCTCCATTTTCTGCAGGCCGCTGCTACTTCCAAGCCCTCGCCTGCCTCTAAATCCTGTCTTGACCCAGGGAAATTTTAAACTTTTGTCCTTTCAGATGGCAGTGTTGTTTTTAGCTTGAATATACATGGAAACACAGATAAGTACTATCTGTGTGAGTTGTAATAATTAATTTTGGACTTATCAGGAAGCGGCTATCAGTATTCTTTCAGCAGTTGTGAGTGGTCCTGAGAGAATCCCATCAATGGTACTGCAGGGTGTTATAGAAGAATCTGTCCAAACTGTAACATGGAGGGAGGGAACTTCTGTTTCCAAACTAATGTTACTAATTAGAAGGTTCTTGTAAGAAACTAGACAAAAGGAAACCTCAAACCCAAACAAAAACGAAACAGGCCAAGAGTATTGGCATTTAAAGCTTTTCTCAAGTGTCTGATTCTCCAATGCTTGCTCATAGTGAGTAGCGCTTACTTACCCACACATGCTGGTAAATACTTGCTGAACAAATAATAACCAGAGATATCAGAAAGCATTGCTACAATAAATTTGCCTTTAATATATTTTTCATTTAAAGCTTATTGACGTATCTGTTTGCTGTTAAATTTGAAATGCTTGGTAATAACCTTAGAAACTTGCAGCAGACTCTTTGCACTAGAAAAATCCTCCCTGGTTCAGTGCATTTGCATATGCTAATCTCTGCCAAGTTGTCTCCAAAATGAAAGGCTTTACATGGGCATTAAAAAAAAATGGCAAACAAACCCCAAACCTCAAGTCAGATCTCTGTATATATCTCACAGTTTAGAACTGGGCAGTGGAGCTGCTAAATAGCCTGCATCCTGTTTCTCTTCAGTAGCAGTCCATTCATCTTCAGGTACAGAGCAGCCAGTTTACGTGTTTCTGACCCTTTTTTGCTTTACTTTTTTGTATAGTGTATGATGGCAAACCCATGTAAGCTAAATATGCCCTTGAGCCAAGGAAACCTCACAGTTAGCAGACAATTTTCCTTTTGTCAGCCAGGATAAAGTTCATTTTCACTGAAGATAAAGTCTTATAGCTTATATATTTTATTTTTCGTCATTTTTAAGGCAACATAAATTTGTACATTTAAAAAAAATCTTAATGAAAACAAGGATAGTTTATATTTTTGAAAGGATGCAAGTGAAATGTACTGTAAGGGACTAGCTACATGGCCACAGGTGACTTAACTATTAACTACGTCTCTAAAAAGAATGTAAATACTTTTCCTTCAATAGCTTTCATTTTAATATATCTGTAACTGTACCCTTATATGGCAAGCTCAAAACATTTTCTTTTCTTATAGTGCATTTCTATTTTGTAAGACCATATATGCATTATAATAATACATATATGCAGGTTAATTTATAAATATATATATATCTTCATACACTTATACAAGCACATACACGCTGTGCATGTAGTCAAAATTGCATGAGTGTACACATATATATGAACAGATAAATATTCATATATGTTGTAATGACATACACATTTTGTTATTTATACAAGTAACATTTAGTAACCTAAATGTTGTTTTCCAGAACTGGGGTTGTTCCTTCCTCAGATCAGAGGACTGTTAATATTAAAACACAATAAAAGAGCAGAGGCTATAGGAGGGAGCATTTAGTGGAGCTGAGTGCAGTCATAAATGTTTAGCTGAATTCTGTCTATGAGTGGTTTAGTCTTTGTCCATCATCAGTAAAGCAAAACGTCTATATCGTGAGGCAGGTGCATCTTCTCCAGAAGGGAGGTTTCTCTTTTCATGGAGCACAGCTGCCTCACGGGTCAATGATGCTTTGCACTTTGTGGCAGTGGAAACCATGGATCATTTTCCTTTGCACATCTGTAACATCTGAGATATCAATCCCATAAGATGGTCATCAGCCCGTACTGTGGCCTGCAGGTTTCCTTGCCACACCAAAACACATACTCCATTGCAACAGTTGCCTCCAGCTAAGGGTCAGAACCATAGAAAACAGTGGAATTAGCCCCAAAGCAGTTGTAAACTCAAATAAACTAAAATCCTCTGTTTACTCGCCCTTAAAATTCTGTGCAATCCTGACTTAAGCAATGATGAAGTAAATTTTTTTTATTTTAAATTGTGGCAGTGTGAGAAGCAGTCGGAACTGCACCTGTTTGAGGGGACTTCTCAAGCCAGGAGCAGTGCCAGAGCCACTCAGCCCTGATTCATGGCTCCTTCTTCTGATCACTGTCAAGATGATGCTTATGCCATTAGAGTACAACATGTGTTAATTTATATGTTGTAACTGCTTCTTAAAAATATAGTTGTCGCAGTGCACTTTAGTACCACTTCAGAATTTATTATGTTAAATGGAAATGAGCAGCATTCCTCTCATTTGCCTGGTTATTAGTGGCAATTAGTGTTTTCCAAAATCATCTACTGCTCTGACATTAATACTGCTGTACTTAAGACTGCACTAAAGTTCTACATCTTTTCGCCACTTTTAGTTTGTCCATATTTCTAGTTACTTTACAACATGCCATCTTTCAGCTTTTTCTGATATTCTTTCCACTCCAGCTTCTGGAATTTGTATAAAAGCCACCAAGGTTTTTTTTGTTTCTTTTGAACTGAAGACACTGGGCTGGTGGAATTTCCTTTAACTGGAAGTATGTCTGGACTTGTGGTTTTATTATTTGCACAGTTTTATATTGTCCTGTTTGTTTACTCCCAAGCACAGGGAACACTCCATTAATCATGAGAAACGGGCATCCATTTCACCTCTTTAATTTACATTCAACTCTTTTTCTCACAGTTGAAAGGGACAAAGACTTCTCCCACCATCGAAGGCACTACAAAGAGTTTCGCTTTGACCTTACTCAAATCCCGCATGGAGAGGCAGTGACAGCAGCTGAATTCCGAATATACAAAGACCGAAGCAACAGCCGTTTTGAGAACGAATCAATTCAGATTAGCGTATATCAGATCATCAAGGAGTACCCAAACAGGTAACCTGTTGGCATGAACATATCATGTGTTGAATAATGTCTCATGTTTCCATCTGAAGCAGGGAGACCACAGCTGGTCATTAGTGTACCCTCAGCAAGGCATCATTGCTATCACTGTGGCTTGTATGGTATTAAATCCTAGGCAACAACAACAAATACTGAGCGAGAATAAAACTTATCTTCAGTGTAATTTATTCGAGGTTTATGGAGAGTTACATGTCCAATCTCACCAAATAATCTGCCCATGCACAGAGAGGGTGAGGGTTTGTACTCTTAGCAGGCAAATGGTGGAGTCCTATGCACAGTCTAAGTGTCTGGGTTTGGGAATTCACCATTTGCTGACACTGAGCTCCTTAAAGGCAGATAGATTGTTCAACTTTGTCCATGTTTGAAGGAACATGGGTTTTTTTGCATGTGCTTTGATGTTTTTTCTGAATGTAATAAAATGAGAAAGTAATGCACCGATTTTAAGATGACATATGCACACTTAACACATGCAGCTCACCACAAGTGAAAAGCAAAACAGATATGACATTACACATGAGCAAATCTCTGAATCTGAGTTTGCAGACCTCTATGTGTGACATATTTCCAAGACTCTGGAAGACCTGAGTAAATGACCAGATTTCACCAGGCAAAGTAGATAAGTACCTGAAAATTCCCAGTAAAAACTACTAGCAGTTTCAAGATGCTTCTGAAAAAAGATACATACACCCCAAATTTGGGTTTTGAAATTAAATTGGTATATGTCTTTTCTCAGAAAAGTGTAAGAAAAAGTTTTGTTTTGAGATAAACAAAACCTTTCCCTCATCTTGGAACAGATAAAGTATTTCCATCCTGGGCATGTTTAGTAAAAGCAAAGGAAATGGCAGCCCAAACTTGCAAAGTATTCTAGAGGGAAAAAATGTCCCGTCAACAGTTAGCTCCAAGGCTGGGCCAGAGATCAAATCTCTTTTCTGCTCACAGCAGCTTGAGCATGTACCTTCCAGGTGAGACCTTTGAACATTAAGCTGTAAATTCTTTTATGGCTACAAACAGGGAGTAATTTTATATCAGCAGAGCAGAACCAACAGGAGGGAAAGCATTCATCCTTCCAGAATACCTTCTGCTTTCCTAGTAAATTTGGGCAGGAACAAAACAGGGTGGGATTTTTTTACCTCTGTTTTCTGCTTGCAAAAATTCTTTTGACATAGGTTCTAAAAGAAACTTCTTAGAGAAAGGAATGAAATGGGAAGGAACGAAACATATCTTTTTAAAGAGCAAAGGTCAAGGCTAGGGTGATGAAAGCTCTTCACCTGCACACTCAACAGGTTTTTTTTAAGAACTAATGGGAAAAGTTAGTTTTTCTAATCCATTTTATATGTTTTTGTTTGTTTGTTTGTTTTCTTTTTATGTTTTCCCAGTAAATGGTTTCTAGTCTGTTTCAGAGAAAGAAAAACTGCTCACTAATCTGAAGAAAGGTCACACTTAAATATTATCTGACTTCTTAAAATGACAGCTGTCTCTGTGAAACCATTAAAGAATGCTCTTGATTTCTTTCAATATATAAACATAAATTTATGAATGTTTTATATTTCCATTTACAAACATAAAAGTTCTAATGTCCTCTAATAGAAGCATGATGCTGAAGAGGGGCATATGCAACTATAGACCACCCATTTGATTTCACCAGTACTACTACAGAAACTTCAGATGTAGAGTGTTTCCTTCCTATTGTTGACTTTGCCAGTCTGTACAAATAGCAAATAGCTCAGTATGACTTGATCGAAAAAGACCACAGATTCTCCACTGTTCAAATTAGAATCAAGGATTTTTTCCCACCTGCTCCTTAATAACTCCAGACAGAAGAGCTCCCAAGAATATTTTTTCTTTTTCTTGTTGTTGCAATAAAGCCACAGCTTTTGTTTTGGGGTGCACAGACTTCATAGTGTTATTCTTAACTTTGTCACCTCAGGTTTGTCCTAAATACATATATGAGATTTTAGGTGCAAAATTTTCTAAAGCTACAGAATGTGAGGGTGAGAACTGTCACAGGTTGCCCAGTGAAGTTGTGGATGCCCACTCCCCGCAAGTGTTCAAAGCCAGGTTGGACAGGGCTTTGAGCAACCTAGTCTGGTGGAAAGTGTCCCTGCCCATGGCAGGGGGTTGGACTGAGTGATGTTTAAGATCCCTTCCAGCGCAAACCAGTCTATGATTCTATGATTCTGTAATGTCCCACACTCCTAACTAGTGTCAATCCACAGCAAAACTGCTGGGTTTGACCCTGCTCCTCCACCCTTTTTTGGTCTGAACAGGAGATATGGGTGTCTGACAGGGCTCTACAATCCCAGATGCGATCCTGCCATGCTTTCAGGCAAGGAGTGGTCAAGGTTTAGGGTTTCTGAGTTGCAGACTAAGGATTATGTTGTAGTCTCAGACACTCTTCTGTCTCTGTGGCAGTATGGCCGCTGAAGAGTGTGTGTATTGAGTTTGTTCAGAGTTTGCTGAAATGACAGTCTTTGGGACTGAAGTATTCTATTTGTTCTAAGTAAGTGTGCAAAGCACAGCCCATGGCAAGGCAGACTTTCCTGCACAGCCCTGCCAATGTACTGATGGATCTTTTCTCATGATGAAAGTAATGTAGTCCAACAGGCCAAATCCTTGTTCATGATCTGGTGGCAGCCAGCCACTAATTTAACTAAACTCCAAGGATTATTCCTGCATTAGGGAATCCTCAAGTGGCAATAAGATACTAAAGTAGCTTTCTGGAATGAGGCAAGAGGTGAAGCAGTGCTATGGGGATGGCCTATTACACAGTAATCGTGATTTGATCTGGTTGAAAACTTTGCTGGTTTTCAAGGAACATATAGATGGTTTATTCCACCTTTACTTCCTTAAATGACCCAGGAGATCTGGAGCTCCTTAGACATCCTGCCCGTAGCCTCTTTGCTGAAATTCTTGACTGTGGTAGCATTTCTGCTGTAGACAACTGGCCGTCTGGGACCAGACTGAGATCACTAAACTTAAACAGCCTCCATAAAGGTAAAGCCAATCAGCTGTATTCTTCCTGAATGTGTTCACTGTTGCATTTCAGGCTATTTACGACATAGTGCCTTACTTTTTATTATGTGCTGTGGGCTATTTTTTAAATAGAAATAGTTTTTAAAATTAGAGCCAAAATTTGCAGCTGTTTTTCATTTTAAGTGTGATCTTTTTTTTCTTTTCAGAGAATAAAGGAGAATTTTAAAATTAAAAATGTCACAAAAATCTGATGAGAACTTTGAGTGAATGACACCAGTTAATGGGGGAATCCTGGCCTCAGAGCTCTCACTGCCTTCTCAGGGGTCAGGTTTTCGCCCTATGGTTATATTAAATGTGAAAAAAAATGTTTTTTTTCTTGGCAAATACTTTGAGTTTCTGTAGTAAACTGCTGTTATGTGGACTAAATCATTAGCACTGGTCCAGAGACAGTTTCTCTATTCTATTGTGTGTTCTTGAGAATGAGTTCTCGTTTTCTATAGGTACCCACAGCTAATTTTTTATTCATTTGCTGAGTTAATTGCTTCTGAGTCTACTACCTTAGCCAGATCACTATGCTTGTACAGAGGCTGACAAGTAGATTGACATATAAATGCCAAAGACATTTTGTTGTGAGTTTCTGCTGCAGTACAAAATAATACAGTCTCATTGATGAGATATCCACAGGGAAAACTTGCCCTTTATAGAGATTTCTGGACTGTACCATTAGTAATGCCCTCTTCTGCTTTGGCATATGAGACACTGTGCATCCTGACTTTTGAGATCATTTCATATAAGCCTTAGCTAAGTTTGGAGCTGGAAGAATCTAAGGGAAAACAAGTATGTATTCTAGGAGGAGACAAGACAAATGTGAATTTATAGGACTGTGATATTGTATTTCAGACAATTGTAGGGTTTTCTATTAAAATAGCTGAATGATACAAGAAATATGTTAAAGACCCTCACATTCAGATTTAAACCTTTCAGCTTTAAAGTTCTGATAAAAGTGCTTATTAGAGAAAAAAGTTGTCATTTAAGACTCCAGAGAGTACTATTTATGAGTTTGTGATACGTTGTTAATTTGTTCAGTGCTAGCATAGCAGGTCAGGCTCTTTTGAATTGTGAGACTGTTTGCATGCTAGCTCCAGAGGGAGAACTCATGTTTTCTCCTTGTGTGGTCATTAGCACAGTTCTACTAGAATGGAAGTGGTAAAAGCCCAGCAAAAGATTATTCTTTTAATGAAGAAAAGCAAGTGACTTGAAAGAAAGCCCTTTCAATTTCATTTTTTAAAATAAAACAAACCCTCCTTTATAATTTCTGAGCTCTTCAACCTGATTGCGCAGATATTTCTCACATGTAATTGGGCATATGCTTGTCATAGCTCAGCTGGTCTTATTTTGCTGTGTGTTGAACAACTGCAGTTTCAAGAGCTACACGAGATGTTTTTTTCAGACCTTCTAGGTACATTTACAGTGTTTAGTCTAGATAAGACAGTAACTTTCTATTATGTCATTGCAATTAAGGAGTGTAAGAATACAGTGACAGGACCATCATCATTTTCAGTCTACTTTTTAAACACAAAGCCTATTATTTGTCTGTTTCAGCTCTTTAAGCATATATCCATGCTGTCTGTAAGGTAACAATACGATTTCAAGGTCTGTGTAAGCCAAGTTTGTCTTTAGTTGACTTGGACAGTTAAAATTTAGAATAAAATTTTTTTCTTGTATATTATTGTTTTGATTACTATTTATGGCAGAAAATATGTTTCTGTAACTATTGGTTTAGGTTTAAAAGGCTAAATGGTGAAAACAATTTTTAATTTTTTCTCTTTTTTCTTTTGTAGAAGCATGTAAAATGAAACTCATGAGAGTTAAATATCTTGGGTTTAGTGTGCTCATTGTAGTAAATTACTTGTAATACAGATGTGGTTCTGGAACCAATTGTGTCAGGAGGTATGTGAAAACAGAACAAACAAGCGGTCCATGCTAAACATTTAGTAACATGATTATACTGACTCCCCTGAGCAGTCCTTCTGAATTACTGTAAGATTTCATGGGAACAAATTTGAAAATATACCCGGGATCTGAGGGTTAAAATGTAATAACAATATTATTGAATGGATATATAATTTCTACTTTGATATAGAGACTTATTATCTAAACATCTGTACTAATATGAAATTGAACTGTCATCTATTCATGTTTTGTTATATGATACAGCTTCTGTCATATGTTATTAATAATAGATTTTTTAAGCAAAGCTATGTCTTTGAATTTTAGTTGAAATTGGAATGTGATTTTGACATTTTTTGTCTTTTACACCAAATTGTTTATGAAAGTTTATCTTCCTGAGACATTCTCATGCTGAAAGATGAATCTTTTGTATAGAGCCTTAATTATATATTTTGTGTATTTATATCAGGAAGCTAGACTTCTTGGATTTTCCAGAGCTGTAGTTTTCACATGCTGAAACTCATTTCAGAAAGATCTTTCAGGAGAAGTACCTGTATTATACTTAGAAATTACATGTTAGCCTACAGCACAGGCTGTACTGTGTCATGATAAGGATATATCACAGGATTATTCATTTGGATTCCAGGAAGTCATCGTCAGCAAGGAAATTAATGACAAAAAAGAATAATATTTGAACGTTTAACTCTCTATTTTCTTTAACTTAGGGATGCAGACTTGTTCCTGTTAGACACAAGAAAGGCTCAAGCTTCTGATGTGGGCTGGTTTGTGTTTGACATTACTGTGACCAGCAATCACTGGGTGATTAATCCACAGAACAACCTGGGCTTGCAACTTTGCGCTGAAACTGGGGACGGTAAGATCGTAACTGCAGATCACAGCTCTGTGTATGCCCTTGTCATCTGCTGCTGGGAACCTTTACTGGACGACTGTGTTTTAACTCGGCTGGGTGACAATTCACTGAGAGTTTATAAGCGAAAACCACAAGTCTTATCCTGCCATAGCCATGGTCTGCAAGCGTTCTATTATTCTTAATTCTGTAGAATATGGAAATTGTAAAGTTAATTGAATCATGTTAAAATAAATGAAGCTTGAGATAAAAGCCCATACACACAATGTGAAGTTCCATTTTAACGTTCTTCCACTGATTGTTACATTCAGGAAACTCAAGCAGATTTGCAGAATTTTTCATTTTAGAAAGATTCTGAAGATCTTTCTGGGATGAAGCATGGAGAAAGGTATTAAAAAACCTGAGAACAGTTCAGGAGGTACCACATAGCCACTGGTACTGATGTTGGAGAAAGGTTAATAATGGGCAATGTGGGAACTGGTTTTCCATTGTGTGAAAAAATAATTAATTTCAAATTTTTTTATCTTGCAATGCATTAAAAATTTGAAATCTTGAAAATGAGAAAGAACTCTATTAAAAATCAAGTCAGAGGTCTGGGCTTTTAGTACAAATTTAGTAGGCTACTGCATTATTCACAGTTATGCTCTTCATTAAAAAGTGAAAATGCATCTCAATGTAAAATAATATTTATAGAAGAAATGTTCTTTACTTAGACTTCTTTAGAAACTAATGAAAAGAGACTTATTTTTTTAAGTTTTTTCTGTGATGGTTCACTTAATCCATACTACTTTACAAGCAAACTTTGAGATTTAGCTCTTTCTTGTCAAAAAGCTTTTTATGTCAGAGGTCAAGGGATCTATGATGCCAGTTAATCTAAACCTTAGCTGACATAATGTTAATGAGTAGCAGAAGAAACCCTGGTGTAAGGATTAGTATTTTTTCTTCTTTCTTTGTTCTGGCTACATTTTCTCATTGTTTTTGATGTGAATTTTCCCTCAGGCTCAGCTGGGCTGTGAACAAAGCTTCTCATACTTTTTCTGCAAGTGCTCTGGCTGCTGGGGAGTTATGCAAAAACTGTCCTCCTTTAGGCATGGTGCTTCAAAAGAGAGTTGGCAGGCTTGAACCAGAGCAGATGACCATTACACATAATATTGCCTGTACGGTTGGAGTACAGGCAGTGGAAAAGGGAGGCAGCAATGCAAAGTAGACCATGTTGTTGCTGCCTTCAAAGGCACCACACCTGAGCTCGGGCTGTATGGGGAGCAGCTCTGTTAGGCAGCCTCATTCTGTGAAGCCATTTTAAAGACCTTAAAATTCTGGAGAGGTGACACCTCCATCAGGCATCCAAATTAGGTGGACTGGCTTCTGGCCAGCTTTCCTGTTCCAGAATAAACTCCATCCTTGAATTTCTTTCCAGGGGACTAAAATACAGAATTTCTTGAAAATTACATATCCATGAAAGACATTCATTAAGAAACCTTGGAACCAGCAATTTGTTGGTTCTAGCCTCAAAATTATATCTGTTCAGTAAACAGCAGGAAAGTTTGTATGGGTAAAAGGAAACCTTTAGGTTAATACACTGAAGAAATTGTAAAAGAACAGTTTGTGTAAGTATTTCCACTGTCCTACTCCCAAGATCAGAAAGATGATAGATAATTTTCTATTTTAAATTTGAAAGCCACAGGCAGCTTTACCTTCTAGCACTTATTTGAATTTCTCAACACAGCTCCTTGAATGAGGAGGGAATTCCCCTCTTCCCTCACTTTCTCTTCCCTTTTCAGTTTATTCATGCCAGAAGAGTGCCCTTCTAGGGACTAAGGTTTTCAAAACTATAGGGAAGACCTGTTCTATACCACTTCAGCTTAGCATAAGGAGAATCATCCTTTCATACTCTTACAATTTTGCTCTTAAGGCCTTGATTATTTTTATTGGGTTGCTGTTACTTCTGGAAGCTATTAGAAACACCAGCAGTTGAATGACATGTTTGTGTACAGATAGAACATGAATTTTCATACATGACTCAGTATGTAGTAGACTCAGTTTGTAACCCAGGGAACCCCACCCACCTTCCCTCCAACCAGTTTTCTGTGAAAGCTCAGACACCAGTTCAAATGAACTGAAAAACCTTCCCTTGGCTCAAGCAAAATTCAGGCTCTGCAGATCTGAAGCACATTTTTTCATGCCTTCAGCTGTCCTCTTAGCTTACGGGAGGTAAGAGTTCTGCTCCCGTAACTGGAGAGACATTTATGATAAGACCTGATCCATTAACCTTTCTATTGCAACAGACCATTAAACTAATAGGATTCTGTTAAGTTATAGAATCACAGAATGTGTTGGGTTGGAAGGGACTTTTAAAGATCACCTGGTCCAACCCCCCTGCAGTAAGCAGGGACAATGTTACTAGATCAGGTTGCTCAGAGCCCCATCAAACCTGACCTTGAATATCTCTGGGGATAGGGCCTCCACTACCTTTCTGGGCAACCTGTCCAGTGATCTACCACTCTCATATTGAAGAACTTTTTTCTAAAGTCTAGCTTAAATCTACCCATTTCTAGTTTAAAACCATTACCCCTCATCCTATGGCTACATGCACTAGTAAAATTCTTCCTCAGCTTTCTCATAGGCACCTTTCAGATATTGGAAGGTCACTATAAGGTGTCCCCAGAGCCTTCTCTTCTCTAGGCTGAACGACCCCAACGCCAAGAACCCCAAGTCAGAGGATTCCTGTTTGAGGTATTTAGGTTCTGCACTGGGGCCCTGGATAATCAAGTTTGTAAATTGTTACTAATTTTTAGATTTATTCATACAGCACCTTTAAAATGGGGTGCCAATAATTACTGAGACTCCATGGTGCTACTATATTGTTATCATCACCATTAACAGTGATCTTTCTTAGAGTTATCTTTCAGTGACTATTTAGGCAATTACTTGTGTAGATATATTTATGTGGTGATCCCTGAAGAATGTGCATAAATAATAATAATGTCTGCATGCGGAATAAAAGAATTTGTAACTATTTAATATAACAGTGTGAAAAAAACAACTTTGGAAGAATGTCTGGTTGTTGTAATTCATACTTTTCCCTCCTTGAAAATGCTGAAAAAGTACAAAAAGCCACATGACATTGGAATGTGTTTTCTTTTTTCTTTAAGACAGTATTTGGTATCATATGCCTCATTTTAGCCTGAAATGTAGACCTTTTCTCTTAATGGGACATTTTATTTTGAACACTAAGAATAAAGGTTTGCATGACACATATGGAAGCTGTCAACATATAATGCACTGTTTCCCTGGGGCTGTGGTAAACTAAGAATCAGGTTTTTTTGATTCTCTTTTTTAATGTCTCCTCAGCATTCTGCAGCATCCCCTTTTGGCCGTTTCCCTCCTTTTGACACCAAAACTCTCCATGGTGTTTAAAACAAGAAGTGATCATTTTCACACTGATGGAAGTGAGGGTATTAGACGGATTGCAGCATAAAATCAATGCAGATGCAGAAACAATTCGAAAAGCTCCATGTGATGCTTTTCCTGTATATATACCATATGTCTCCTAAGACTTAAAACATGTTCCAGTGAATCAGCACCTTTGTATTAACATTTTAACATTTTTAGAATTGGAAGTTAGCAGCAGTTTGAACATCACTTTTACTGGAGGAGTATAAATAGGTGCAAGAGTATTCCTTTTGCTCTTTCTGTCATTGCTGAAGAGAATCTAGTGTTGCCTACAGAAAATGGGAGAGGCAGATAGCATGTAATGATGACTATTGCTGATCCACAGACTACAACAGGTTCCAGATACACAGCTCTCAATACAACATCCTGGTTAGCCCCTACAGCCACATAGTTTGTTGTCTTGTCTTAGATTTCTGCAACTTTCAGTTATTTTCCATCCACCTGCACATCAGAGGGGAAGAAACTGGTGGTGACTTTGAAAAGCCCAAGCTGATTAAGGTGATTTTAGTTACCACATAGTTCTGTGGAAGGTTTCTTTGGGCTTTCTTGCTGTGTGAGGTGGGCAGGCAGTAGGAATCTTCAGCTTCCCAACTCTGACTCTTCAGGCATTTCTTTTTCCTCAGAGCAAAGGGAAACTCGAAAGAAATAGGTTCCTTGATCCAAGTGAAGCCTGGGGAAGGCCAGTTCTGTCTCCAACATGTATTTGGGTACACTTCGACTTGTGTCCCCTGGAAAGGGGTTTGGCTTTTAATCCTACATGTTGCAGGAAGGATTGGTGAGGTCCTTTTCCAGTGATCATGAGGGAGATACTAAGAGACACACTCTCTTTTTTAGCCTCTCCTCCTTTCAACCTGGGCCTTCCAAGGTCCCGTTCTCCTATGAAGCCTTCAGAGAGGCAGCACGGCCACATTCTCTAGGTCTTGCTTTCAAACCATATCAACCTGTGGCAGCACCCTGAGTTCTTCAAGTAGTTGGCTGCATACTTTACATTGGCCTTGGCCTCACCTTTACAATACTAAATGTTATCAGTCTCATCCCAAGGTTGCTCCCAGTGAATCTTGGCATCTAACTTACATGATCGCGTTAGCCATCAGGTACTTTGGAGGGTATTGTCGGGTTGTTGCAATTAAGTCTCTTCTTGAATCCGGTATTTACAAGGCAAAGTATCAGGAGTGAGTTCAACTTCATTAGTGTCCTTACAGTGGGGGACTTTAGCATATATATACTTATATTGATATATATATGGACTTTGGCAGGCAATAGCTCTGCCTAAATTCTGAGCCATCTGAAAGCCATATAGCCATGTTAGCACAGCACTGAACCTGAGCTAATATATCTTGCCCCTCAGCAGGTTTTATTAGCTTGGGCTCAAACACTGCCTAAGTACAGCTACGTGAGTCCTGGTTCAGAGCTGACTTTGGCCAAAATTACACTAGTAAATTAAACATGCTCAGGAATACTGTGGTGTGAAATGAGCCGCAGGGGTGACTCTCTCAAGTCTCCAAAACAGGGTGATCCTGTGGCAGCTGCCCCCTGGGAGAGGTTCCTGCAGC